GAAGATACCAGAAGCATTATTCATCTCCCTCTGCAACTAAGAGAATATTTTAACTACAGCAGACAGGTAAAGAAGTCATAGTTCTCATATACACTAAGCTATAATGACACAAGCATTAAACAAACACGCTAATGAAAAATGGTCAAGACCAGTCCTATACCATCGCCTATATTGTCAAGAAAACAAAGTAATGGAGATTTTCAGAACTCGGAAGCCCCAACATAGTTTACATCATAAAAAATAGGGCATCAGTTCAACTTAGGCAAGCCATCGCTAATTTTAAGTATTTATAAATGCAACATAAAACCAGCAATCTGAATGTAATAACAGTTTTTCCTGAAATTATAAAAAAGTAAACAAATTTAAATGACTGACAATCTTACAACTATATAACTTAGCAATGCAAACACTTAATCATAGATGTAAGGAAACAGCTTAACATACAATGTATACCCCAAACATACAAACAACTCCACTCAGATTTGCTAGTGATACCAATATTAGCTTCATCAGAATAAAAGAATCAAAGTAAATCACAGTACTTGTATTATTTATTACATTAATTTTTGGAATATAAGAAATGGAACACCAACCCCACATTTTCTAATACTTGAACTTCATATGACCTATTTGGATTACCCTCACTCCAATGGATCAATTCCAAAAGGAAGATGACCAACTGGCACAAAGTGTCGAATTGAACATTCTAAGAAAGAGCAGATAATTAAGCATCAAAGGCCATTACTTGTTAGTTGTCACCAACTGAAACACATTTACAAAACAATAATGTGACTGCGACATGATTGAATTCATTAGTTGATTATAAGTACAGAAACTTCTGGATTTGTTACTCAGTAAGTACTCTTGTATTTTTTATATACAGAATAGGGAAAAGAGTCATAAATAAGAAGGAAATTAGGACAAAAGAAAAGAGATTAGAAGAAGAAATGAGAAAATGAATTTTCAGTCACCGGAATACTGACCATGTCTGCCATTTTCTGAGCCAAAACTTAGTGACAACTGCAGGGTGTAAAGATGAAGCTAGAAAAAAGGATTACAAATGACTGACAAGAAACCATGATACAAGCAATTTTAAAGCCTTATCTCTAAATCTAAAAGCTCCCCATTTGCCACTCCCCTATCCAATATCCCTCAAACCTAAATTTCTGAACAAGCAGCCTCCTGTTCTTCAAGGGGTTAATAGCAGTGGAGTACTTGTCCGCAAAAATACCACTTAAAGTAATGTAATTTTGGTCAGACACAACTTCATAAATTAGAACGGTAAAGTGAGAAATCAATTAAGAAATCATTATTAGCAGAAGTTTCAACTCTCCTAAGCTACCATCACAAAATTGATAAATATCAATTGCATAGGGGCATCCATTACAGTTCATGAAAACCTACTACAATAAAACCTGTAGGAGGACGGTTTGCTGAATTCCCTTAGGCCCTTTATAGTTTTAAAGGCAAATCCTTTCATAATTGAAGATGTTCTAAGGAATAGACAGAAAATCATTTCCTACTTCCCAGTTGGGGGATTAGCCTATCCTTGCAGCAAGACTAATTTTTGAATCATTTGATAATTTCACAACATGGTATTTTTCTTCCCTTCTTATTCTTGTTTTCAAAGCTCCATACTCCGGAGTATTATCATTTGATACAAGTTAGAAAGCTATGCGATTGAAACGTTCTAGTTCTAGGTAAAGATACGGGAAATTAATCGAAAAATGAAAGAGGAAAATTTGAATACCGAAATAGCGGCGTTCATTGGCTTCCTTGGCATTTAGGAGCAACTTGTCGAGGTATTGCTTCAGCCGATCCTCCCATTTGACGAAATGGTTGGCTAGAACCGCTCCAAGCCCCATCCCCAGCAAGTGCTCCCACGGATCTGCGGCCACAAAATGTTAGTCGGAATGCAAAGCAAGGAATACAATGAGATAAAAAAGTTAGGATTTGGAAGTAGGAGATGCAGAGTGAGTGCGTACGGTGCATGTAAGGGAGCTTGCGGAGGGCGTTGGAGTACATCTGGGTTCCCAGTCCCATCAGAGCTCCCTCTCACCGTCGCGCTCAATGCCATGTCTTTCTCTCTGATTACAGTTGGGATCCTCTTCTGCAACTCACCATCATTTGGGAATTACGAATTTAGGAGCGGAGAAATTGCTACCTCATTGCCATTTATAATGTATGAAAGTATGTGGGTGGGAGGAAAAAGTGTAAATGAGGACGTTAATTTTGTATTTTTTTCATTTAAAGGTGTTAATTTTATTGATTTTTAAATAAAAATGTTAATTTTTAATTTTTTAAATAAAAATATTATGTTTTAATTTTTTTTATTTAAAGATATCATCTTATTTTTTAATTTTTTCTATTTAAATATTAATTAGTGGTGATGTTGACGGGCTAACCTATTTTTTTAAGGTTAAGTGCCTGAATTAATCCCTTATTATTATTTTTTTTTGAATCAATTCATCTTTAAACTTCAGAAAATACTGAAAATGTCCTTCAACTTCAATTTTTAGCATCAATTTCGTTTTATGGTTAGTTAAGTACTGATGTAGTTAATTTTTTTGATAAGTGATTGATTATTTTACATTTTTAATATTAGGTGAAAAACCCATCATGTAAAAAATGATTTTGTGAATTTTTTTAATTTTAAACAATTTAAAAACTACTTTAATTCTTAATTTTACTGTATTTATATTTAAAAATTAAAACAATTAATATAATTTTCCATTTAATTAGTCTCACCTACC